ACAGTTACAGAGTACTCCACTGGTTGGTTGAAGCTAAATCACGGTCTGGATTCGTCCTTTATGGATCTGAAATTTCCACCTCTGAGTACAGTGGCTTATGTTGAGGACTTTCTGTCACCTGTTAGTAGAGAAAACTGTTCGAAGAAGCACAGTCGGTGTGTTGTGGCAAAAAGGAGGGCAACTGAAATCTCACAAAAGTTCCATATCAGCGGCCCCATCTCTTACAAGTCTGAGCAACCATCTCAGTTATGAAAGATCAGATGTGAAGTTCCAGGTTTTTATTTCACTGGAAAGCTGTGGCTTAGAAATGCAAATAACTGGTTTACATAGAGTCTCGCTATCAGTCAAGTCCTACATTCCAAGCCCTCATCCCAGGCTTCACTTCCTGACCCAAATATGACCAATTCCATCCTGCTGACTATGGTCAGGACTTCTGCCATAAATGGTAAGATTTTAAACAGCTGTGGTGTCCCAGCTGACTGATGCTGACTGAGCTCCTTCCGGACACATACTGGCTGGCCATAGGACTCTGGTCATTTCCTGCACAATATCACACAGCTTATGATGACATGGGAGCATGAAATATAAGAGGGGACTAGTATACTGGGGGGAAATGAGTAAAAGGGTGTCCTTCCTTACATTTCACAAATCTGGAAAAATGTCTGTCTTAGCAGGCAGAATGGAAACTGGAGACTTGAGGAAATGAGGTAAGTCCAAGACACAAGAGAGACAATTCATGGAAGCCAAAGCCTAGTGGTGTACAAACCTTTTTTTTTTCTTGTTTTTGTTTTGGCCCCAGTCAGGCTATTCAAGCTGAACCAAAGCGGTTGGTCAAATATATTTCAAGGGAAGCAGGTAGGATGTCTCCCTATAGACATATTTACACACGAAGCCGACTTTTACACACTTGCAGACATCTCTCTCCAACAGGCTAAATGTGACACCCGCTCCCTAGTTTGGTGTGACTTTCTGTGATCACACAGAGAAGAACATTCACCGCCATCTCTGCTTTTGCCCGGGGAGGTGTGACTGTGACACCACTGTTGGGGGGCAGAACTGTTCCATGTCAGGCTCACTTTGCTCTATGGTTGAAAAGCAGCTCAGGAACACAAAGTGTAGCTAACAGCCAAATGGATGAAACAGATGAGTAACATTTTTTTTAATAAGTATACTGTGCATAGCCCAGCTAGCAGAAGCAACAAAATGTATTCAGCAAAATCAAAAACCCTGTTCAAAGCTTGTATGTGACTAAGTGTGTCAGTCAGCCGCTGCCAGCTGCTCTTTGTAGTGTCTTAATTTTCACAATTGTACAGGAATTAGTCAACCACAGATGTCTGATTCACCAAGCTGAGTTATAATGAAACATAATGTATAAACGCAAAACATAATGTTATCCTAAAATTTAATCGTCTTGTCTGGGCACATGCATCTAGTTGGCCTAAAATCTGACATGCATGAGGACCCGATGAAGGTTATGAGATCTGGCATCAAAGTTTTTGCTTCTGGGGATTTTCTGTGGGCAGCGGAAAAGTGTCCTTAACTAACCTGACAAACAATCCAGTCCCATTCCCAATGCACCAGATAGAAAGCTTGTTCTGACCCAACAGTGCAGGGATCTCACCAGATAAGTAGCAATGTCTGATATCTTTAAATAATTAACCTGGTGCATTGGCAGGTTAATTATAGTTCTGCACCAGGTTAATTATTTAAACATATCAGGCATTTCTAACATCACATTAGCGTAACGCATAACTATACCTTGAAACGCTTAGCTAACACAACCTCATGGCTGGATATCTCAATGAAACATTATATAGACTGAGACTGGAATACAAGGTCTTCCAAGACAGACCTGAAGCATTCAAGTTCAGGTCCATTTACTGCACTAAGGACGATCGATACTCAGGCTACCGTGAAAAGACACGAAGACGTGCGCCAGTGGCACCATCTCCAGCAAGCCCTGCTTTGCATATCCCTCAGAGGGTTTCGAAGCGCTAGGATAAACAGTGACCTCAGGAAAACCATCACGCACGAGCTAACGGCAAGCAAGGACACTGTCCGAGACGTTTAGCTAGAGCCGGCAAGCAGTGATGTGCAGGATGCGTGAGACCGGCAGGAAATGCGGCATTTGTGCCGTTTTGCACAGAGGCCATCGGTTTGATGAGCATAGAATAAACCAGTCTGGCCTGGAAAGGATATTTTATTCACCACCATCTTTCCCACACAGTAGGAAATGAACAACTGTGCATTCAGTAGCCGGACAGACTGTCAGAAATAGGAAGATGCCTTTAAGGTTTAGAGAACACTGTGTCATATATTGGCCTAATAACAGGAATCCTCCCAGGCTGTAATGATTTTGCTCACGCTGGTTTAATTATGTGCTATACAGACACTACTTTGTGAAAAGAGCCAAACCGGCATTTTTCCCCTCTCAAACTTACTTGACAACGGATGTATTGGCAATATAAGGCAGCTGATACGCATGCATCTTGAAGGATTTATTGTTTTGTAAAACTGACTGAGCTCTGCTGGAAGACCGATCTGTTTGGATGTAAATGATACAAATAAAAATTATGCATAGTTTTCAAGCAACTTCCCATAACCGAATAAGATTTGGATAATTAATTCTTCGCTAGACTGCGGAAATTCCCGGTCCTGTTTTCTCAAATGTTTTTTATAATATGGATGGATTTCAAGCTTAAAATCTCCTCCCATGATACGTCCTGCTATTTCCTGTATTGTGTGTTTCAGAGCTTTAGAACAACACATTTGAAAGCAGAGAAAACTGCGGGTTTAGGGCGAAATGTATCCATCTGTAGTTTACAGCAAAGCTGAAAAAGAGAGTTGCAGAAGAAATGTTTGATTTCCTGGCTATTCTGGAATTTATTTTGCAGCTGAACTACCTTAAAGCATAAAAAACGTAAATTACAGTAGGGACACCATTCACGGGGTCTGCTGAAATGAGTAAAGGTGATGAAGAACTGCAAAGAGTTCCTATGGGAAGCATTTCTGTATTTACTATAACTCAAAGACATTACTTGGCCATAACACAGCATACAAACGACTTATTACCTATGACAAAAACAACTTAAAAGGTATAAAACCCTATATACAGTGATCCCCCGCCTGTCCCGTAAGTTACGTTCCACAATCAACGATAGGTGATTGAAAGATCATATAAATAAACATTTTTTTATATAGTTTCAGACTTAAAATACCCCTCCCACGCGCTTTAAATGCGATAGGTGAAATTCCGCGATATAGCGGGGGATCGTTGTACTTCAAAGTCCAAAAAGTAATTGCAAACCTTTCAGCACCTAATCCCATGCATCCAGTGACATTTGTTAACATTTTTGTTGCTTTACTGAATGGTGGTCAAACATTATATATATACATATATTGTGATATTTCAAGAAATATGTATGATATGCCTTAATGCAGGGTGGGGCACGTAAAGAGGAGCTGTCACTCATCGTGTAGTGAAAGCAGAAAGACCAGTACATATACAGTTTGGTTCTGATCCCTGTGCATGGGAAGTATTCAGGTAAGTTAACTACTAAACTGCCGAATTTAATTAACTAAAGGTTGTCTGTATCAATTTCACGGCTGGTATGGCGGCTCAATCGGTATCAGTGTTGCCTCACGGCCCCAGGACTGGGATGTCGGTCCCACATCTGTTGGGTGTGAGTTTGCATACTCTACCCTGTATCATATGCCAGACGTATGTGCTACACCCTAGGCAGCCTCTATAGGTGGCACCGACTAGGACAGGAGGTTGGAATATGGGGACAGAAGAACCAGTTCGGCATTCTCACTCTGCACTGACGCATGAGGTAATTTACCTAAGTATCAAGTGATGGAATAGGCTCCAATCTGGAATTCGTTAACAGCAGAATAAACGTAAAATGTTCCTGAATTAGTAAAGGGAGGAATTGGAAATATGGTTTAACTGATGATAAACCAATGAAGTATAGGTGGATTAAACCAGGGAGTGTCTGGCGGCACGTGGTCATCCCACATGCGGTCATTTCTCAAACTTAATTTAGTCCCACTGCTAACTTAAACCACTAGAACCAAGCCAACTACCATGGCTTCTACGACTCAGGACACCGGTTTCATAACCTATACTGCATATCAGTAGGCTGACAGGTCCTGCCCCATTCCAGTGGTGTTTTAAAATAGGTTTTACATGAAAATAGGTTGCCAACCGTGTCTCTCCTATAATATCACCAAGTCGTTGATATAAAAGTCACTATACTTTATATTAGTTTAAAATGAATTTGTTAATTGTATTGATTACGACTATACCTAGCGCTACATTATTACTGGGTTTGTCTCAATACTGAGAGGAACAAGTGGACTAGAGTTTAAACTGTTTTTAATATTTGTTATTCGTCCATGTGCAAATATTTGGTTTGTTAATCAATTCGTTTTGCGTTGTATCCATGAACTACCTAAATGCGTGTCCTGTTATTAAATCACTGTAGAATAGCCCTGAAAATAATTGGACTAGTTGTTCCTGGCAAATAAAGTGAATTCTGACACTACCACTCACTCCAGACTTTTAATTTTGGGATTTGTATTGCTTATCATGCAGTTTATCAGGATTTGTACTGTTTAAACATGTGTATCTGTCTTTGTATTTAATTAAGTGAGCAATGACTCTGTAGAGACTGGTAGATTCAAATAACGTAGCCTAATTAAATATACCACAGTAAAATGATTCTGTCAATCTTGGGTGAGTCAAGAGCAATGAAAGATTACAACATTTAACTGTAACCACCTTTTATGTCACAGCATATAAGGTTTACCTGTTTTCGGTAATCGGTTTATTAAAATCAAGCATGGTTCATGTGCGTGGGGAAAATAATTTTAAATACAGTAACATTGGAAAACGCAGACCAAATAACACGGGACTTCCAGCCGCAATGGATGTTCTGCTTTTTAATAAAAACGCACTCCAGCTGTCATGTCTAGAGAAATTACAAACGAGCACTTACTTCTTCCTGTACTCGTCTCGTTCCCGTTTTACTTTGGCCAGCACGTTGTACAGCGCCCTTAATTCAGGGGTGATGGTGTCGATCTGAACCCCGACACCGTCCGGGTGCGTCCAGGAGACGCCGGGACCCTTGAGCGTCTCGAATCTCTCCCCGTATTTCCTAACGTGCGTGAAACTCCAGATGGTGCCGGGTAGCCGTGATTGAAGGTGAGGCCCCGGTACCGGCTGTTCAGGATGAAAGCAGTCCGTCTGCACCGCCTGGTCGCGGGTATAAAGCGATCGGTAGCGGCTCTGCTCCGCGGCTTGCAGCAATTGATTCTCCAGCAATTTGTTCCTGCGCTCCAGCTCATGCACCTTGGCCAGGAAGCAGCGGAACCGCAGGTTCAAGGTCTTCAAAACATGGATGTTGGAGCCCAAGTCGTTCCGCAGAGCAGCAGTCACCGCAGTCCCAGTGCCGGTGGCCCCAGAAGGAATAGAGGCTCCCACAGCCGGGACCGCAACGATACCAGACAACTCAGAAAAAAGTAAGGAGTTCATTTTTCCTTAAACGAAATTAATCGGCCGATTTCGCTGTAAATAAAAAGCATAGTAAGTAGCTAAATGGGCGAGCGCTCTCTGTATTCACGATGCCCCCAATCCAACCTCCATCCCCTCCCCCAGCTACCCACCCACCAAGCCAAAACGCGTCAGTCCTGCGTGGAGTTTTCTAGGATGCAAATCCTTGAACTGATGGTATCAATGCGGGCGCCAACGCTGAAACATTATTGTCACTTCTCTTTTTCAATAAAAGAAACATTTATCATCTAGTTAAAAAAAAAAAGCTTCTGCAAAAGGGGATCGCCCTAATTCTCCGACGACAAAGGGCTTGAAAGCTGATGCGCAGCCGTAGCTCCCATACCTTCCAGTTAAATGTATTGATGGGGAATATATTAACGGCGACTTAGGTCTTCTTTTCGCCGGCGGCTGCCGATGCTGTTCGGTCTCTCCATTGATCGCTCCGGGCTCCGCAGCTCTCTGCCCCACTGTGAAGTTCCCTGCGCTGCATCCAGGCTCTGCCCCTCAGAGCTGCTGCTGGGGTCGTGTTACATGCTACCGAGTCCGTAACCTCTGCCGAAGCAACTGCAATCCCAAATACCCGCCTGCCTTTTCTTTCTTTTTGCTTTAGCTTACATGCGATCGGGCGCAATTATGTGCGCGAACATTTCTTTCGTTAATATTAATGTGCTTGTAACCTATTAACAATTGCAAGCGGACCTCTGGAGGTATCGCAGTCAGCGCTGCACTGGCTTGTCCTTAACTGCACTGATGACGCCAGTCGGAGCGAAACGCTGATGAAAGCTCCCACGTAACAAAGTGGGACAGCGAACTCCTGTAATCCAGACGTGTCAGTCAAAAAATTCCTGGTTCTTAGCCCTCCGTATCGATTTGTCGGTACCGAAGTCGTCTACCTAACTAGTAGGCTAGATCATATTCGTATGCTACAGGTAACCCATATCGGTTACTAAATCAGTAACCAGTCAACCTAAATGGAAAAAAACTGGCTCGCTTTCCAGTAGGGATGACATCTTTAAATTAATATTCTGGAAGATCAACGCAATCTTAATTAACGTTATATAAAACATCTATAAAACAGAAAAAAAACCTTGTGGAAATACCTGATCTCGGGAGATGTTTTTAATTTAAAAAAACAGCTGCGTTTATGAGCATTAGGGGGTGTTGGTCTAAACGAAAGAATACTGACCCTGACATACAATACATTATCATCATTTTAAATACAGGCACAAAACAAACTAAACGAATAGGCCTAGACGTACATTAAGACTTGGAATAATCTACTTTTAAGTGGTCATTTTGAGGCATACAGTTAATTTCATTCGTTGTCAAACCACCGTAATAGATTAAAGACGTCGCCAGATTGAAGAAAAAAAAAATCAGACGTAGAATTATTACAGCTTTATTAATCTTCTGCTAAACCAAAAAGCAAACATTCAGCGACAGTTGAACATAGTAGCAACGGGAATAGGCAAAGAAACACTAAACTGGATCGAAACAAACTCCACACCATGCATTCTGCTCTGAGTACAATGGCGCCCTCTGCAGGCGTCGATATATTAACGAGTTTCTTGATCACTGAGTCTGCACTCAGCGGCACTGTGCTTACCAGAAACAAAAACAGCTCTGAGGGGGTAACAGAGATGATATCTGAAGGGTATTCTTATTTTATCTTGTGAATGACGAAAAAAAAAAAAAAACCTGAACACGAAGCCAGTGTAGTTGTGGACCCACAAGAAATCAGAACTAAATTGAACCCAAAGACTATTACCCCAAATGTACCCAATTTTTCCCTAAAGAGGATAATGAGACTTTCCATCTGGAAAGTTGTCAGCAAAATGAAAACGTACTGGAGTGGTATCCTGTCTTGAATCAGGATTTCATAACAGGGAGGACATTTTTATCTGTTTAATTTGATTATAAAAAGAGACCTAACATCTGTTTGGTCTTAAAAAGCCAACAAGTCAATAACTCTCATAAATCAGAGGTCCAGTGACATAACTGCAAAATCCTGGGTAAGGGGGAGATAAGTTACCTACATAAGAAAGATTGGTTAATCCTGTGAAGCTCACACTAGCTTCCTGTGAATTTGCAAATTAATTTTTTAACAAAAACCGCAACCAAAATTAAACAAGTAATTTTCTTCATTTTAGCTTGAAAATACTTAAAATTACTCAGAGATTCTGCACCCAAACATGTTGTGTGTAATAACACGGGCATTTTATATTACAGAAACCCTTTTAGTAAATAGGATGCATAAACTTGCCAGGCTACACATAGACTTTTCTGGTCAGAGTTGTTTAAAGAATAGCGTATTGAAAGCTGCTCAAAGCAGGAACGGGGGCCAGATGTGCCGTCTGCGTCTGTGTGTTTTACTGTGTGTGTTCATTTCTGTGTGTCTGTGTGAAGAAGCTGGGAAGCTCTTCGCCTCCTGTTGAGAAGATGTCCTTTGAAGAAGCTTTTCCACGGAGTCCCCGTAAACAGGGACCGTTTCGTCTCCATATGGGACACCGGGTGTGGATTGAAGCCATCTGAAGTCCAGTTGCTAAAGCCCATCAGGGCACAGAGTTCAACAGATCCTGCAAAAAGCCCGCAGGGTCTGGGATGTCAGATAAAAGTCCTGCGGAAACAAAAAGCCAGGAGACTGGTCACAGTATGAATGTGGAGAGGATACAGACTGGGTGTCATTCTGGCAGGTTAAGCAGGAAGGAAATGCTTAAAAATGTAATAAACATACTAATAAATCTACAGCTTACTGAGGCTGAACAACTATTGTGCAGAAATACTATATTTATTAAATATCTTGGTTTGGCAGTCATTTTTGTATAGGCGAACAAGCTATGCCCCAACTTGTGTAAGACTCTCGCCTTTCACCTCAGAGAAGGAAGGTGCTAGAATCAAAACACCCCGAGAGCAAAGCATTAAGTGGTTAAGACACACAATGACAGAGCCAACCACAAAAGATGGCTTTCGCTGCCAAAATACATACAAATACACACAAACTGCAAAGCAGTTAAGTCCTATAAACCTAAGGCAGGTGTTTCAGCATAGTAGGGCGGTTCCTTGCATGCTGAAAATGCTTCAGCAGCCCCCCCCACCCCACCCCACCCCACGGGAGGGACTGCGCCACCGCGGACTCACCTACGACGTCGAAGAACTCCGAGACGGATTCAGCGGGCATGAGCTCATCCTGGAAAGCCCGCAAGACGCGCTCAGATGCCTCGTAGATGGGCATGTCGTTGTGCCGCACGTACTCAGCCAGGGAGAATGACCAGCCTCCCTCTGTGTTGCAGGTGGGAACTTTCTGTAGAGGGCGAGAGAATCAAGTGTTGGGTCAAAGACTACTTAAGCGTGACTCGGCAAGGACCAGTGAAACGATTACCCGGTCAAACTGCTCCACACGGCTGCTATAATGTGTTATGTGCCGTAAGTGTTTGGATATGTCTACAGGACACCTCAGTCTTCTGCCCCAAGCTCCACTCGCCAATCGCTGCCTCCCAGTTTCCGGCCACGCCCCTTCTGCCCTCTGACCCTGGCCCTGTGTTCCGGATAAAGCCTGCTGGTCACAGCTAGCTCGAGCTCTTGCTCAAGCTTTGTCTTTTGCTATCGTTGTGTTGGTTTGCTGTTTCTGATTGACTTCTGTGTATGACTGTTTTGGTTTCCTGGTTTCTGACTTTCTGCTTTGCGCCCTATCGGTACCTTTGCCTTCGGTTTGTTTGTCTTCAGGTTTGAACTCTTGCTTAGCTCCTGACTACTCTCTTTGCCTCGCCCTTTTGGACACTGTTTCGGCCTGTGTGTTTTCAGGCTGAGAATGTTTCTGAGGAAAGGCTCTGGCAAAGATTAAGCTGCCGCTGGGCTAAGGTTCAGCTTGTCATTCAGAGAGATCTTTTGTAATTGATGGTGCAATGAAGAGAAAACCGATCAACAGCAAATCTACTGCAATATTATACGCCTTACACAAACTGCATCTGTCACTCCATTCTCACGTCTCATACATTCAGTGTGAGTGCCCAGGACTGAAAATTCTGCATAACAAAACTCACTATTGATCGTGGTCAACCCTGTAAGTGAACCACACGAGATCCTGTTTAGTTCATTAACGGTTTAAAGCAGGATCCATTTACTACAGGGTCCTTCAGTTTCCTCTTACAAAGGTGACCAGGCAGTTTCCAGCTTGTCATTTAGCAATCAAAATATGAGTTACCCTGAACATGTCATAGATGAGATCCACCAGGCCCCAGAAGAGAAGCGGGGAGCGGTATACTGCATACTCCTTCACGGTTTTGTCCGAGAGTCTGGAAAATCAAACAGCAAACAGAAAGAATCCACCAGGTTACACCTAGGAGCACTGCCAGCACTGCTCAGCACATCACTGCCAGCACTGCTCAGCACATCACTGCTCAGCACATCACTGTCCAGCACATCACTGTCCAGCACATCACTGTCCAGCACATCACTGTCCAGCACATCACTGCCCAGCACATCACTGCCCAGCACATCACTGCCCAGCACATCACTGCCCAGCACATCACTGCCCAGCACTGTCCAGCACATCACTGTCCAGCACATCACTGTCCAGCACATCACTGTCCAGCACATCACTGTCCAGGACTGGATGGACTTCTATTGCCACATGCAGTATGCGACACATTGCACAGTTAAAACCTTATTCTTTAAAACATTTAATGCTCATTTTGAATTCCTGTGGGGTCATGTCTGAATAACAGCAATTACATTTTAATGAGTCAGTTACTACCTGCATCTAGCTTTCTCTTTGACAAATGTAATTAGGAACATGCCAAACTGAATTATAATGTCAAGGAACAGCCACTGCTGTAAAGCATTTCTTCGGTTAACCTCTTCTGGCCAGAGGCACATTACCTTCCATCTGTTCCTACCTGACATTCTCTGCACGGTTAAACCACAGGTGTGTTTTATGCTCCGCAGTAACCTTGACTATGAAAAGCCAAATGGCAAACAGCAGCTTGGTAGGCATTAGGCTGCATGGTGTTTAAGGACATGGCCCGGTAACTGAAGGGGAGGCGTCCTTAACCCCCTTAGAGGACTCTGGCTAGCTACAGAAAATGTTAACAACAACAACAACAACAATAATAATAATAATGGCACTTTATTGATCCCCGTGGGGAAATTTTCAGCCACTCTCCATGACACGCATGTCGGTGGTAGCGAAGGGCAGCCACCTGCAACGTCACCATGGCGCTGGGGATTAAGGGCCTTGCTCAAGGGACTCAAACCGGCAACCTTCCGATCACAGCCACAGAGGCTTGGCCTGCTGAGCCGCACGGTGCCGCCCCAAATTCTGAAGGAAAGTTTGTACGTATGGGAACCTATGAGCTCTTACTTGTTGGTGCCCCCTGGGGAGACTTTGCGGGCATGTGAGGTGAACAGCAGGCGGCGCAGGAAGTCCAGGCGCGTGGTCCGCCAGCGCTCGGGGGGCAGGATGTGCATGGCCAGCACCGTGTAGTAGTGCGGTCCGTCCACCTCGTACGTGCTCTCCAACCACTTCTCACTCGGCTGCTCCAGGAAGCTCTGCAGGTTCTTCTCCTCCCGTGAGGTGGCCCTGGTACTGCATGGCGGCAGGGGGGGGGGGTCGACGCAAGTCAGGCTCACATTTATGCAACAGAGACACTGAGCTTCAGTCCCTTACTGACACACCGCTGCCTGGCTTCAGTGTCAGCGCTTGCCTTCGTAGGGCAGTGCAGTGGATCTGGGATCCCCTGCATTCGGCCTATAGCCCCAAGCTTACAGAAGGCCCCTCAAGGTTAAAAATCGGCACACTACATGATCGTATCTAGAGGCCTGTCCCTGAGGGCAGGTACGTGAAGGCCAGGGCCCCGGTGGTCAGGAACGGTAGTACATGCGGGTGAGAGCGGACAGGACACGCACGTGTTGAGCACGTAGAGCACAGTGTGGATGATGTAAGGGATGAGGTGGATGTTGCTCTCGCGCCCGCCGCCCCCCGTGTCCACGCTGAAAGACTGCTCCGTGGCGAATCGCAGGAATAGCAGCTTGGTGTCATGGATGTTCAGCTGGTAGGTAGGTTCCCGTTGGCCCGTACACTCCTGCAGGTACGTATTATGCCTGCCAAGAAAGCGTGAGCCGTCAGAACAGTAGTAGCAGTAGGTCTTCACCCATTTGCAGACTATTTTGATCATTTGGGTTACAGACGATCGAAAAAATTGAGGCTTCACACAGTGGGTGGGACTTTTGTACACTGTCAATCACTGGTTCAATCCTCTTCCTATTGGTAACTTCATTGGCTTCCTTCAGGTTAACCACAATAGGCGTCGGCCACTGCAAAATAATCCAACCTATGAAGGTCTCATTTCTCCCAGCCCGACGGCTCAGCGTTTACCAGTACCGTTACGCTACTCGCCAACACACAGACCTGGCCAGACAGGTGGCGAACGCGGACTCCGGCACGTGCGGCCCCCACACCGGCAGCAAGCCGTTGCACTTGGTGTTGGCGTTCTGTAGGGCGGCGCTCTCCCACTCCTCACGCCCACGTGCCAGCCTAGAGAAACGGGGGAGGGGAAAGATATCATGGTAAGCGAGGATTCGCCCACGTGTCCACGTCTTCTGCGAGCTGCCTGGGAGACGCACCGGACAGCAGCAAGGTGGCAGTCGTAGTGGACGATGTTGAAGTGTGACACCGTGCTGTAGCCCTGCTGCTTCCGGGGCTTATTCTCGGACTCCTCCAGGGCCACGCGCTTCGTAAACGTGTAAATTCCAAGAACCTTCGTGGGCTACGGAGAGAGCGAGGACACACGATCACCGAAGGGGTGTTTCTGAGCCCAGTCCCCGGAGACCACCAGATGGTCCATGTTTGTGCTCCTGGTAAAACGTGGACTGTCTGGCGGTCCCCAAGGACCAGTCTGAGAAACACTGCACTTCCACAGAAGATTAAAGGCACTGATAATCGGCATTGTGAAGGGGGAGGAGCCTACCTGGAACTTGTAGCCCTCCCGGCAGATACAACAGGTCAGTCCAGGCTCCTCAATCAGCTCTTCCATCTGCTTGAGCAGCGATGTCTTCGTCACCACCTGGCCCTTCTCGTTGGTCTGGAACAACATCACGCACTGCCATGAACCTCCTACAATCCATCTTTATTATTAACCCAAGCCTGCACCAAGGCGCCAGGCGCCGTATACCCGTAATGGGACACTCCTACACAACTCTTGCACTGTAAGGCCAATTTAGCATCAATACAGTGTTTCACTGAACTGCACGTTGGGCTATGGGAAGAAACCAGAATACCAAGGTTACCTCATACAAAACACACCACTAACTACAGCATAACATTCAGATTTCCAGAGGGATTATGGGACGTGTTCACTAGCCTGCAGAGAACCCCACCAATCAAAGTATCAAGTAGCGTTGAAACGTGATACCTTTAAATAACTACTGTATAAATTTACCCATTTTTAATTAGAGTTTAAATATCTTTTCATGTCATGACAGTCATGGAATATGAGCGGGCATTTCCCCGCGTATGAACACGGGTCTGATCTGACACGCACGGTCATTCCCAGCGTTCCCAGTGCCTTCTGCCTCATGGCCATGGCCATGCGCTTCTTCTCGGCCCGCGTCTCCCGCCGCGCCGCGTCGATCTTCAGGTTGACGTCGGCGTGCTCGCGCAGAGCCTCCAGCAGGTTCTCGGCCAGCGTGCCGATGCCCTCGTCGCTGGACACCTGCTCCAGCTTGTGCAGGTCGCTGATGGAGTCCATGCCGATCAGCACCTGGGAGGCGGGAAGGGAGCGTCAGGCCAGAGTCACGCCGCCGTCGTCAGGGTCACGCCGATGTCACTCATCCGCTTAGACGCTGCCGCTCGATAAAATGCTAAGCCAAAGCTAACCCATTGATGGTATGTTTACACCAGTGTTGCCCAACCCGGTCCTCAGGGACACAGAGAGTCCAGGTTTTTGCTCCCTCCCTGTCTGGGAGGGAGCAAAAACCTGGACTCTAGTCCACATTTCAGCTACTGTGAGCTGGGAGGGAGCAAAAATCTGTCTGAGCACAGGGTTGGGAAACACTGGTTTACACATTTGATTATATGTTGATTATACGTTTTTAATCAAGTGGCTGTGGAGGCAAAGAACTATCCGCACAGTTCCGTGAAGTGCATTTAAAAACATGCAATGCACAGCTTATAATGTATAATGCAATAACTCACTCATACCACAGTTGTGATACATTTGGCTAACATGTTTGTATCTAAATACATTATTTTCACGCTTAGAAGATGTCAACACATTTATGCACATTGATTTGCTACTGTGTTTCATCTGGCTGGCACTACGCGTGCAATTATAGAATATTAATTACCCTTCTGACCAATCAGATTCCAGAATTCAACAGCCAACTATTAAACGGATTTAAAACGGAATTTCAAATTAAGAATTCGAAATTGTCAATCACAAATCTACTTGCAAGTTAAGAATATATAATGATGGTTAGTGTTAGATGACACTGCAGAAAAAGCAGAGAGTAAGACTGTAAAACAAAACCCCTGCAAACTATGATCAAAAAGCCCTGAGCGGCAGAGACCTGTTTTTGGTGGCAGCAGCTGTGAAGCTTATGGGGCAGCGTGACGACACCTACCTGCGTTGGGGGGTGCTGGGTGGCCAGACCTCGAAGCAACCTCAGGATGAAGGGCAGGGCTGGGCGAGAGAGAAATTTCTTCCAGACGTCAGCATCCAAGCTGGAGGGCAGACAGGTTGAGACAGTGGTTAAAGATACCAGTAGCAAAGCAATCCTGCGGCTGTAAACACACCAAGAATTTTGTTATCTCCTAAAAGTCCTTTACAGTAACTGGGTTCGGTTTGTTGTTTTTTTTATTATTTTTTTCAACTGCCAACAAACCCACACCCAATCTAATCTGTTTATCTTTGTGATACACAAGGAAGTCACAGGGCAAAAAAAAAAGATTTTATCCGATTGCTTACTTTTTTGCGCTGGGGATATGCTTCTTCATGTAATCCAGGGCATTCTGGGTAATGCCTTTCTGAAGAATCAGCTCCTTCAGCTGATGGCCGTTACTGTTGTTCTTGATTCCGGCGGCGATCTTACAGAAACAGTCTAGGAAGACCTTGTCATCCACGCTGTGTTCTTCGTCGTACCTGAGAGGAACAGGGAGCCATAGATTAACAATCCATGCAGGCATTAGATGGATGTCAAAATAGCGCTTCCAAAAGATTGTGGAAATCCTGTCTTTCAAACAGTCTGCAAAAAGTCAACAGGTACCATAATACAACCATTCAAATTTCAAAGAGTGAGAAGACTGGAGACTGCCATCCCATAATTTCAGTGGTAGAGACAGTATGGATTTCCAAATAGGTCAGTCAACTTTATGAAGGTTGTGGAAGCACAATAAGTACAATAAGCTAGAGTAACTGGGACAGGACTGAGAGCACCATTCTGCTGAATGTTCCTCACAGCCCATAAAGAGAACAGGCCTCCTTTGGGGCTGCAGACCGACGTACTTGTCAAAGCTGCAGCAGGGCTTGAAACGCTCTACCAGGATCTGCATCTTCTCCAGCTCCCCGAAGGACAGGTAGGGGATGATGCGGAGCAGGCCCTGCAGCACGCTGGGATTCGAACGTACGAAGGGTGTGTTGATCTGATCTAGCAACATCACCAGCTGGTCTTTGTCCCCAGTCAACAGCAAGTTACCCTGGGAGAGAGCAGGGTAGGCAGATGGTGAACACACATATCAGAATGGATCTGAACCCAAAAATCCACTGTGCACAATGCTGGTAGGGGGACGTTAGCAGGATTCAGTAGGACGGAGCTCATGTCTCTTCTCCAGACACAACGTTGCGTTTTATGAACAAGAGCCCTAGTGGACAATTAATCACATGGTCTCAGCTGCCGAATGGTGTAAACCGCTACCATTACAGATACTTGTTACAGACAATCGTCACTAATCGCTCCCGATGACGATCCAGCTGCTGCCCACCTTATCCTCAGAGACGGTCTCGGCATTGGCTTCATCCAGGATGATTTCCATGATGCTGAGGACCTGCTCCGCTATGGACGCCCCGCCGCTGTCCTTGCTCTCCTGCTCGGCCACCAGCGCCTGAAAAGCGAGAGAAACCACTCTGTTCTCGTTAATCCAATTAACTCGACGCTTCAGTTGAGAAATGGGGTTTGTCGGCCAGACAGGACTGGCACGCTGAGCCACGGCGGGGGCGGATCTTCTCACCAGGTTGAGGGTTCCCAGCATAACGTTCAGTGTGTTCATCTCCGGTTTGACGAGCTGCTGTCTGTTGATTTTCACTTTCACACAGTAACTGAACAGCTTCAGCAGAACCTGGACAAAGAAGCAGATTTTACCGGCCTGAGAATAATCGCTTACAAAAGACGTCAAAACCAGCCTCCATTAGAACAATTACCACGTCTCATGGTGGCATTAAGGTAAGAATGGAGATCTTGGCAGATAACATCCATCAACTTTTGGGATTAACATTCATGATCTTTGGGCTGGGTTCGGGGCCACAGGCAGCAGTGTGATCATCGGGGGGGGGGGTCTACCCTCACCGTGAGAAGGTGCCTCCCCTGCTTGAAGTCCTTGATTCCAGACAGCCTGTTGAGCATGCACTCCAGACCCCCGCAGCGAGCCATCACGCCGGCCATCTTGTACACCTCCTCATCATCCTCCTCCTCATCTGCACACGTTTTGGTAAAACATGGATCAGTGAGATACAAACTGCTCATGACTGAACACGGCCCCTTACATTTAATTTAATATTTATGCCATGTTCCACTTGAAAGAACACATCTGTGTAAGAACTGAACAAATGCCGAAAGATACTGAACAAATGCCGAAAGATACCACAGATCAGGCCCAGACCAGCCGTGTTTGAACAAGTCTGCAATAATCACTGTCATAAATAATTCACTTGATAGGTGTGGAGTAAAACAACATTTTGCCTTTCATTGCCTTGGGTATGTATGCCAGAGCATTTTTTATCTTTAATCATTACCTGTGGTGGAGTCCAGTGACTCGATAAACTCTTCTGTAGCATCACCCAAAAGGCCTCTCATGCGATAGATAATTCTCATGGGCTCCCCCTGGACACAAAACATAATCTTAATCCGAGTCATAAGCAAACAAGGCAAAACTACCAGACCGTCCCAAAGCCCCTCTAAACAGGGAGACTCAGTCTGGGCTGCCTTTTGTTTAACCACCAGATCCATGCTTGTCTGTATCACATACCTCATTGGTGGGGCACCACACCTTCTTATAGACTTCAGCAACCGCAAGATCCAGGCTAATTATCTTGTTATTCACAAGCAACTACAGCGAAAGGAAAATGTCAAGTGAGGCTTCAAAACAATGTTCTTATGTACGTTTTAGAAAACTCAAGGTGCAGAACATTTTGGGGGCAGTGGGGGGTGTCTTGGGAATATTTCAATTCTAAGTAGAGGTATGAAAATATAGCCATTACAGGAGTATAGTAATTTGGGAAAAAACTTGACAGACTGATTTAGTACTTTGTAACATGTATGCTGCGTATGTTACTGGGCAATTCATCTTGTGACATTTTCAGGCTGCCTCAGATAGAAGCTCATTAGCAAGTATAATGACCTCCATGCCGCTGTCATCCTCCAGCAGTGCTACCAGGTCACAGTCCTGGCAGATCTTATTCTTTATGTCCCTCATGAGGGGCCCGATTCCTGGCTCGTTGCTGCTGTAGGGATTGCCGGGCATGCGCCCCTGCAAGAAGTCTTCCTGCTGTGGGTCCTTCTCCAAAGTCACGAAGAACTCCGTCACCTCGTTCTCCTCCTGAAAGGGAAGAGTAGGGGGGTGTGTCACGGAGGTGCCCTCAGAGAACCTTGCTAACCAAAGCCTGCGTGATCACTCACGGGGTAAATGATGCTGCACAGCCTCTCGAAGATGAACACAGGCGTCCTGTAGTCGTCCAGGCTGTAACGCTTGGCCGTCTCGATGCACACCGCCATGAAAGCCTTGGTCTCAGACTCCGTCCCTTGAAAAGTAGAGGCCATTGAGTGGGCACCAATCTTTATAACCCCGATCAGTTCAACTCAGTTCAGTTCAACTCAGTTCAGTTCAACTCAGTTCAGTTCAACTCAGTTCAACTGAATTGCTTTACATTATCCTCACCCAAAGCCACCAATGACCAAGCCAGAGGGTAAAGTGGAGAAAGGCCTGGCACGTGGGCGGGAAGGCATACCTGTGGTCATGTCCTCCAGCATCTCCAACAGCATGTCCTGCGTTTCATCGATCAGCTTGGTCCTCTGCACCACCAGCTTCCTGAGGCACAGGTACCCGTTGAGCACTGTACCCACAAGGCGGCTCTTGAAGTGCCGCTTAATGGACTCCACCTCCACAAAGGAGGACAAGAGGCCTAGGGGACACAAACGTACACAAAACTTGGGTCTCCGGGCATGTGCACAGGGGTGTTATTCTGTCCCACCTATATCTGACACTCTGAACACTCCATCCAGTGTGAGGTGGAGTGAAGCGTTTCATAGCTCTAGAATTCACTGTATAAATCCTGTGCTTTCTCCCACTGATGCAATATTTTTGGTAATACAGATGGTAGCGCTAATTCCCACCAAGATATTGCAGGTCTTAAAGGTCCAACTCCATCAGTGACTAATGGGGTAAGATCTTACCTTTGATAAATGGACAACCAGGCACCAGCAGTGGGTCAGGCTGCAGGAGAAATGAACTCACCTGTCAGGCTCTTCAGGGCATAACCCTGCTGAAGGTCAGTGCTCAGAGTGGCCTCCTCCAGCGCCAGAAGGTGGGCGATCTCCTGCAGAGGAACACAGAGGGCTCAATGCATGCAAACCAGCAATGTGATGTTGTGACACATTAGGCAAAATGATCGTTTGCCACTAAAACCATTACCCACCATCTACATTGCTGTGCCACTTCAAAGCAGGCAACGAAAGAGAGCATTTGCCAGTTCATTACTGGCAACGTCAATCACTCAGAGGTACCTTAGTGATCAGGTTGCCGACGTAGGGGAGGACGCCGCGAGCTGCCAAATACACTTTCCAGTGTGCAGGCTTGATGAGCTTCTGGTACAGCGCCAGGTATTCTGCCGCACACTCACCAGCGATGCTCAGCTCATCTAGGTAACTGGGGAACCCAAAACCAGTGGGTCACCTTCACCTGCACGCACTACTGCGTGCGACTGTCTTGGATGTACAAAGTCAGTAACATTTATATGAAAAATGGTCATCTAAAAAAGGCCAAAATTAACATATACCATGTTAAGGTTTCTGAGAATTCAACACGAAACTAAAATATGAATTTGAAACCACTGTTTCAGTACTTGAGGGAGGCTGCCGGACTGGTTAGTTCCTTAAAGGTGACATCACTATCATTTGAGAGAATGATTACCTAGTGAGCAGGTCTAGGACGTGTTGTTTACGGCTGGGAATGGAGGTGAGAGCTTCCACTATGGTGCAGGCGGCTTGCCTAGCGGCCTGGGTAGCGGGGGTGAAGAGCACCTGGAAAAGAGCGGGAGAGGCTCAGGGGACAGCAGATAGGGCAAGGCAGGTGCTAATTCGTAAGACGGGGGGGCTCCCAATGTCACGTTACCTGCCGTAGCCAGTTGTTGTGTCCCAACCTGAGGTCCAGGGGTGAAGTCCTCTTCCCACGCTTGCTCATAAACTGCTTCCACTTCCAGACGTACTTCTCTAGTAGGTAATGCTTCCGTATGTCGACCTTGGAGAGGGGCTTTGAGACGGCTTCTTGGCCTGGGAAAGTTTTTAACGGACACAAGAAGCAGATAAGCCTATCTGACTGTAGCCTTAAGGCCGATTCATATGTCACTTTTCCAAGTGCGCTTTCAATTGAGGACGAGGGCACGTTATGTAAATTTCATCAGCAGGGACTGACTGTGGACGGCTGCAGTCGCTGTGCATGTAGCCTAGATTTTTATGACTAGCAGAAATCGTGCACGTTTGTGTGCATCAAACGCGTATGTGTGAGATAAATTAGGTATTTCCAGGAGGTGGCAGTGTGGATTTTCAGATCAGCAGTCAACGACAAAAGAGCAGAAGGAGGATAACTGTTCTTGTTGTTGTAGTAGTTATGAGAGCAGTTGTACGAAGAGGGTCGGAGGTACCTGCACATGTAATTTAACAATGTCTCGACATTCTACCAAGGTTTACGGTATTTTAAAAAGCAGCACTATTCCAGCATTTTCAAATACTGGTGATAAAATGGGCCAAGCCGAGGGAGGATTCCCAGCTAATTTTGTCGCAATGATTGCAAAATACCTTACAAGTCACTTTGTTTTGGTACAAGTCATTGTGTTTGTTTTAGTAATGCCGCCCAAGCCTTGACTAATATCTTTAAAAATGTTCTTGCAGGTTTACCCGTTTTACTACACTGCTTCTATTTGTGTTTTTTGCAATACGCCTGCCCCCTACTGGTCTGGTGGAATATCACCACTGTATCACACAACTATCGGCTAAATGTAGCACGAATATAAGCTGCCACAGACATGTGGAAAAGTGAAGTATGAACTAGGCTTAACTTCAACACCACCATACAGTTACAGAGAGAGAGAAACAAACTCACCTCTGGCCGGAAGGCACTTTTTCCAGGCTTCATAGGACGCCTTGGGGTCCTTTTTTAGCCAGAGCTGGGCCTGAGCGTGTATCTCGTTGCTATAGGGCTTGACAGTGGTCAGGGACTCAACAGCAGCATCCTGAGAGACAGACTGAGTCAGCTGCTGATCTCTTGAATGCTGATAAACGTGGCCTAACAGAACAAACCGCTACCTTATTCTTTTTGCTGGTGGGTGCGGGTGGCTTAATGAGCTTCTGCAGGATCTTCAGACACATCAGGGTGATGTTCTCCACCACCACCGGGGTCTTAATGTTCACGGCCATTAGGAAGAGGCTGAGAGCTGCATGGGCGGGAGAGTGAACCTCAAGCACTGATGTAGTGTTATGGGTGGACTGCAGAAGTCGCGTGCCGCCCACACCCCAGCCAAGCACCCCGACTCACCACAGCGAAGCCGCAGTTCCCAGCAACCTCCCTCTTTAGCTATGGAGTCAGTGAGAAGCTGCATCTCGTACTGAAGGCTGCTCACCTACAATGGAAGGGCCAACACAGCCTTGTCATTTCATTCATTATTTTGCTTTTAGTCCATCACAGTTGAGTATGTCAGTACCATCGGGTATCTGCACTGTTTTCCCCAATCCGGTCCTCGGGGACACAGACGGTCCATATTTTTGCTCCCTTCCAGCTTTCTGCCAGGCAGCTCACATTTTTGCTCCCTACTGGGAGCTGGAAGGGAACAAAAACGTGGACTGTCTGTGGGTCCCCATGGACCGGATTCGGAAACACTGGGTTACCGAATAAACTGGCGTTGACTATCCATTCAAGGACAGAACATGCTACCTCATGGGACTTGAACCCACAACCCTGCTGTGCCATCTGACAGAGCTGAGGTGTGTACTGGATGAGGCAACTTTGATAACTGAAATGGGGTGGGGTTCACACAAGATCAGGTTGCTGTGAAACTCAACGCTTGGGTACCTACCAGGTCAGGGTTGGCCCAGTGGCCCTTCAGTGCAGCAGACACCTTTGCAATGATGAGGTCATTCATCTGCTGAGTGGCATCAGGATGATCTCTGAGAGAAGATGAGCAAAGCGGTCAAATTCAGTGGTTTAAAGAATGAACAACACTAGTTCTCAAAAAATTACTGTAGACCCTCAAAAGACTGTAAGCATGACTTTTTACATCACAGATCTGCAAAAACCCAGCACATCTTGCTCAGGCTAAAGTTGTTAATGCATTAAAATGTCTAGAAAGTGCCATGAAGCACCAGATGCTGTCCACCAGACTTAAGGACTGAAGTTCGGCCCAGACATCTGCACCAGTCCTTAGAGATCATGGAAACCGGCACCCAAACGCCCATGCTTGCTGTACCTGGTGAGCAGGCAGATCAGCTGCCGCACCTCTTCCCGCATGGCGCCGGTGCCGCGCCGCAGGTTGTACTCGAAGAGCTCGCGGATGAGGCCCTGAAGCACCAGGATCTGCCGGATGGACGGGTTGGTGGCCAGGGCGCGCAGCAGCGCTATGCAGTGGCCGGTGACCGCCGACGCACAGCCGTAGCACTTGGTGGAGGAGGTGTGGCCGCAGCCCAGTACGGAGAGCGCGCGGTACTGGCTGGCGGTGAAGGTGGGCTGGGCGCCGCTGCGTGACGACTTGGTGGCCGCCTCTCGCTGCTGCAGGTCGTACTCCAGCAGCTCCTTGCGGGATGCCAGAACTTTCTGGAGATCAGAGGAGCTGAGGTCACCACCTTGTAAACTTCTATCGGGAATTCGGTTTTTCACCCGTTCACACAAATAACTACAACGCTCACAGAAATTCTTGGGAGCCTTCCTTAGTTCTATAAAAATGTTGCAAATTTACTGGTTTCATAATAAATGTCCATTGACAAGCAATATCATAATTTTTTTGACCGAATCATTCAGTTCTGTTCTTGCCATTTTGCTATTAATTGCAATTGTAGTCATTGGCTCCAAAAGAGATACTAAACACAAATGTTCGGTGTTATGTTATTGCAAAGGTGTTACTAATTAAAACTATAATTTGGGTTTCAGTTTAATACTGATTGAAATTAATGACTTACTTGGTTATTTCTAATGTGACAAATATTTTTGTAAACAAATGAATGGAATAGTGATTTTTATAACACCAATAAATTTGCAATATTTTTACTGAACTAAGAAAGCGTTCCAAGATTTTCCGTGAGCACTGCATTTCACAGAAGCAGTTTGGGTTAAGCAATTCATGCCAAATACAACAAGAGTGCTCTCCTAGTCTTTATTGGAGAAAACCAGTGTGTTACCTGCCAATACTAAAGACACTCGTCTGTCACCCCTTAGGTCCAAGAAAATCTGCATCACAGGTTCAGCAGAACCATCACACAGTACTAAGGGGGCTGAGGATATAGTGAGAGCTGCTCCTCCATACCGCACCTGGATTATTTTGGAGAGCTCGTCGAAGGAGGTCTTGCAGTCACCACTGTACTCCTGCGCCAGCTGCTGGATGTACCTGTTCACACTGGCGGAGGAGCCTCCCATCCCTGCTCCGGAACCCGCGTCATCCTGCAGGCAGTATGGAGGCAGAGCACAGCAGCACACAGGGTGCCAGGTAAGGAGCTCTGAGGCACAACGTCCAGGAGAAACATCTCCACATGCTACCACAGCTAATAATACATTCAGAGGAGCATCTTCAGGTCAGGAAAACGGGCAAAAGCCACAACCAATTAGATCTAAACTGAAGGACGACAATATGATCTTATCTATGACAAACTTGAGTTGCTACATCAGTAATGAAAATGTAAAGAATTTTTTGCATTGAATTTATAATAGAATCACATGACTAAATGGAGCATTTATTTATTTTTATTCCCTCCTCCACCCCCCTCTGCGGAGGACTACTTCATTAGTATTTATTTATTTATTTTGTTATTTATTTATTTTATATTTTTATTTACTTCCTCAAAAGAAGGAGAGGGGGGGGAGGGGAAACAAAGGAGAAGAAGGGGGGAAGAGAGAGAGAGGGAGAGAGAGGAGAAAAAAAAAAAAAAAAGGGAGAAAAGAAAAAAACAAAACAGACAATAGGCTAAATGGAGCGTCTTAATGGCACGATGAGACAGCTCGTGTGTGACAGACATCGTGTGGTGCAAGCGGTCAGCAGCGGCTCTATGCAAACCTGTGATGTCATGCCCCTTACCTGGGGCTTCTCCGGGGCTGCCTCGTTCACCTTGGACAGCAGGCTCTCCAGCTGCGGCCGGTGCCCCATGAGCTGGTGGTAGACGCGGTCGGCCTTGTCCAGCAGGGTGTTGATGTTGGTGACGGCCTGTGGGGAGGACTCGGTGGAGTCAGAGTCTGACGGACCGCCATCACACTTACAAGCCGGCGGGCGGCCCAAACGAAGACCACACAACCCACCTTCTTCCTGTCCTCTTCATTCTCTATGGGATCCACGGCGCAGCACGGCTTGGCGTAAAGCATGAAGTCAAAGCGCGCGTATTTGCAGAAGCCGCAAGCGTTACACAGGAAGGGGTCCTTCTCGTCATAGTTAATGGACCTGGAGGCATTTAAACAAAAAAAAAATATATATATATATCAGCTATGATTCACAAGGCAAGAACCAGTGAAATAAATTCCCACTGTCCATGGAGCTAATCTGATCTGAGATGTTTAAATTAGACGTTAAACCTTTAGCGACATGGTTGGTGGCCACAACAGCTGCAGTCGATAAGCTACAAAGACGCATCACCTGCACTTGTGGCACTGGTAGACGTTCTCGCCACAGTTGCCGCACACGCCCGGGTTGGCCGGCACGGACGCGCTGCACCGTGGACACTGCAGCGTTTCCGTGGACGCCTGGTAGTTCTCGTAGAAGTCGGCGAACTCGATCATCAGGTTGGACGCCACGATGGGCAGGGGGAGGTCGATCTTGACCTCGGTCTGCCCTGGGGTCAGCTGGACCTTCTTGGCTTTGTGCCAGCGAGCGGGTCTGAGGGAGGGAGGGGCAGGTTAGTGAAAATACATCCCATACAGGATGGTGAACGTTTAACGAGGCAGAGGTGATTAATACAGCCTCTCCCCGGGTTACGTTCTGAAGGCGAAAATATTGTAAGGCGAAGATACATTTTAATACAGTAGACCAAACCTAACAGACATCATAGCCTGGCCTGGCCTACCTTAAAACATGCTGGGCAAAATCATTAATACAAAGTCTAATATATATATTAAAAAAAAAAACAAAACTGTTGAATACCTTATTGAATAATGACAAAGTGAAAAGCATTTACCCAACGTAAGGTCAAAATATGGAAACATCGTAACCCGGGGAGCTCAACAAACAAGAGGAGGTTTGAGGGGAGAATCCAGAACTCACTTGTTCTTCAACTCCACGATGGCCTGCACCGTCCTGTTGTTGTAGTAGAGGTTGATGGTGCGCACCATCTTGGTGCGCTTCAGGTCGCCGACCTTGACGGTGACCTTGCTGATGGTGTGGCTGCCCACGAGTTTCACCACCTGCTGTGTGGTGGTGTAGCGCGTGTCCACTTTTATGGAGGAGAGCTTGATGTTCTGATGGGCAGGAAAAGGAGCCAAAGGTTTGTGTTTATTTGAGTAGCCAATGGGAACAACGCAGATCTCCAGAACACAACTACTTAGCACTCACAGAAAACGGCACTTCGGGGTTGTTACAGACTAGGCAGGGGTCACTCTCCAGGTAAAACCCATCGAACTCCACCAATCCAGACAAGGTGCTGTGAAATGACGACCAATCATATCACTGAAGTGTGTAAAGCTTCTGACTTAAAAACAAAAGCTGCCATCCACTGTGTGGGACACCCCGGAGGAGGACACACTTACTTGTAGATATTGGAGTTGGGGTGGTTGGTCAGAATATGATTTTGAGCTCTTAAAATCTCCACAGCCTTCTGAGAGTATTCCTTCAGCTGTAAACACAAGAGACCACCACTCCAAAAACCAGCTCACCTTCCCCCGCCTTAAGTCCACCAAGAGCTCAAAGATAATCCGAGGGCAGTGTTTTTGTTTTACCTTCTTCTCAGTCTGTGGAGTCTTCAAAGAGAAATAGCCCAGCAGGTCCACGAACTGGGCGGCCTTGCGCCCATATGCTGGGAGCTCTGGCCAGATGGCCCATGTGAGATCCAGGAGCAGCTCCTGCTGGGACTTACTGGAGTTCCTGTGCAGGATGCAAATTCACATCATAAGCGGCTGATATACCAAGAGCACTTTTTTTCAAACTGTCATCAAATCACACAACTTAAGGCCAAGTTAACCTGTGGGATGTCATCTGCGGGTGCGTGTGGGTACCTGTAGATGTGCAGAGCCAGGCAGTGAGCCTGCCAACGCACGGACGAGGAGTTCGACTCCAGCAGGAAGCAGCGCAGGAACTGGATGAGGGTCTCTTTGTCGGCTAATTTGTTGAGCTGACTGACCAGCGCGGTGCACAGCTGGTCCTCCTGGCTTCCCACGCTGTCGCCTTCACGGGGCACGGGGACGGGGCACGGGGACGGGGCACGGGGACGGGTTAAACGCTGCACGATGCATCGGGAGGAACCCCTCACGCTCCACAGCAACGCGCACACACTCATTCACACTAGTCACCTCCACAAACTCCACAGTGGATCAGATCTACTTTAATTGTCCGAAACTCAAATGGTGGCCAGGGGTGGTGGCAAAAGATTCTGGGCCCTATGAAAGCAAATTATATTGGGCCCCCAAGCCAGATGAATTGGATTACGTTCCAAAGTTTTTAGGGCTGCAGTCACTCAGGGGCCCTTGGAATCATCCTAATTCCCCCCACCCCCCTTTATGGGGCCCCTAATAGGGGCAACTTACATATAAATTCTAACATGCTCCCACAAATACACACTGCCCTCTATTTGAGGGTTTAATCTGAGGGAAATGAGCCGTTGGCTGACTGCAGGTAACCTGGGGATGCGACTGACCCCCCCATTGCACCTGGTTCTATCAAATCATCTTCCATTCTGCAGTCAGAAAGCCAGACTGCTAACTCTGACCCAGGGGGTCTTCAGGATCACTGCCCCTCCCAGTCCCACCGCGCTTACCATCCTTCTCTTTCTCCTTGTCCTCCTTCTTGCTCTTCTTACTGGAGGACTTGCTTTGGGAGGACTGGGAGGAGCCGGCCCCACCCGTGGAGCCGGCGGAGGACGCCGACGAGGACGTGAGCACCTTGCTGCCGCACAGTGCGCAGGACAGCAGCTGCAGCAGCACCGGGGACACGCCCTCGTCTACTAGGAAGCTGACCTGCAGCAGAAAGTAGAGAACCGCTGGGGGGGGCGGGTGGGGGGTCATAAGCCACATGAACATCTGAGAGAGGATCAGCAATATTTCAGGACTGCTTTGATAACCAGCCATCCACTATTATTAAAACTGATTA